GCTGTGGGGGTGGCTGTCACATGAGATCCCACCTGATGTCCACCTGGTCTGGGAATGACTGATTCAGCGCTGTGGATCCCGGGTTTGTCCCTCGGATCCTCGCACTGATTGCAGCTGTGGGGGACCTTGCGGTTTTATTTAACCACCTTACGCCCATTTTACCCAGCAGGAGGGTAAGCTCAGAGAGGTTAAGTATGTTGTCCAAGGTCACAAAGCTAGAAACTGGGAAGGGCTCCAAGTCCAGTGCATGTTTTCACTATCCTGTGGTTGGGTCAAGGTCAACGTAATGTCATTATGACCCTTCACCCCGGGGAAGTGTTTACAGAACAACTTCAGCCAGGAATTCCTGGGCCAGCCAGAGAGGCCGCCCTGATTCCCTTTTAAAGCTTGGAGTTAGTGGCAGGGGGTGGGTGAGTTTGAGCCGGGGAAATGCCACGGCCGGCCCACATTTCCCTTAGGGTCAGTCCGGGATTTGTGACCTCCTAGGGCAGTGGTCGGCAAACTGCGGCTCGCGAGCCACATGTGGCTCTTTGGCCCCCCTGAGTGTGGCTCTTCCACAAAATACCTCGTGCGGGCGCGCATGTACAGTGCGATTGAAACTTCGTGGCCCATGCGCAGAAGTCGGTATTTTGTGGAAGAACCACACTCAAGGAGCCAAAGAGCCGCAGTTTGCCGACCACTGTCCTAGGGTAAGACCCTTTCTCCAGGAAGCCTCTCTGATTACCCTTGGCTCCCATCCTGGCTCCCTAGCCTGAAGTTCCCCCCTTTATCCCAGACCTGTTCATACAGGCCTGGGAGTTTCTCTGTCCAGTGCCATCTCCCTGAGAATAGGAGATGCTGAGTCCTCTTGGGGTGCCCGGAAGTGCCCAGCACAGGTTGGGGACCAAGTGGGTGGCAGGGAGGGATTGCTGAGTACATGAAAGGCTTGATTGCGGATGTGGGATTAGTTTGGGGTTGGGCTGTGAAACACACATGCACGCATACACAAGTATGCACGCACCCACACTCCAAGGCACCTGGTCTAGGCTGGGCCTAGGAGGAAGCAGAAAGGCTGGGGTTCCAAGGATGAATCACCTTCACCCCTACTTTTCTCCCACTTCTTGAGGCCCATCTGCCCGGGTAGGTCAAAGGCCCCTCCAGGCTGCAGGCAGACTAGGGGTCTCGTGAGAATAGTCACTGTTCAGGGCCAGGGGACAGCCCTAATGGAAGTAACATTGGCACAGACAGGCAGAGCCCTGGGCCCTGAAGTGAAGCTGGGATCGGGGCCAGAGGTCAGAGGAAAAGAAACTTGGGGCAGGCCTGGGCTTGGGGCTAAGGTCAGAGTTAATATTCACTTTAGTAGCAGTAATATAATAATAATGAAGGCCCTAATAATAGTAATAATAATTGTTGTGTGCAGGGCTTCGAGCTAAGATTTTATATGCTTGTGTTTTTTTTCAGCTTTGGGTTTTGTTAAGAGACATCGTACAGCAGGAGTCAGCAAACTACAGCCTATGGACCCGCTGTCTGTTTTGTGAACAGTTTTTTAAAAAAATATATATTTTATTGATTTTTTACAGAGAGGAAGGGAGAGAGATAGAGAGTTAGAAACATCGATGAGAGAGAAACATCGACCAGCTGCCTCCTGCACACCCCCTACTGGGGATGTGCACGCAACCTAGGTACATGCCCTTGACCGGAATCGAACCCGGGACCCTTCAGTCCGCAGGCCGACGCTCTATCCACTGAGCCAAACCAGTCAGGGCTTGTGAACAGTGTTTTGTCCCTCAGTGAAAGTCACCTTACATAAAATGAACCGTTTTAGAGTGTACACTTGTGTGGCATTTAGTACAGTCACAATGTTGTGTAACCGCCACCTCTACCTAGTTCTAAAACATTTTTATCATCATGAAATAAAGCCCTGTACCTGCTAATCAGCACCTCTCCATTATTCACCAGCCTGGGCAACCACTGATCTGCTTTCTGACTCTATGGACTTGCCTGTTCTGGACATTTCATATAAACAGAATAATGCACTATGTAACTTTTTTTTTTTAAATTTCACTGAGCATAATGGTTTTGAGGTTCATTCACATTATAGTATGAATTAGTGCTTTTTATCATGAATCGATTCTTTTTATGGCTGAATAATATCCCATTGTATGGAATATTCATTTGTGTGAAATGGAGGTTTATTGGAATACATCGTTTCCTATTTGTTTATATATTGTGTATGACTGTTTTCATGCCATAACAGCAGAATTCAGGTGTTTTGACAGAGACTGTCTGGTCTGCAAAGCTGAAAATATTTACTGTGTGACTTCTCCTTTTCCTCCAGCTTGTTGATACTAGTGACCCAGTGCCCGAAATTCGTGCACATTAAAAGGGAATTAATTAGAGGAAATATTTTAATATTGCTATTTGCCCTTTCTCTATAATAGAAGTGTCAGAGATGAAAGAAAATTAGTCAAATGTATATGAAAATCTTCCTCCTGTCAGAAAAAACCTTGAGGTCCCCTGTCAAATCCCGCATAGTGGGGGTGTGGCCTCAGGTCCTTTGGCCTGGCACCAGGGCAGGAGGTGCGGCCTGAGGTCCCCCAGCCTGGCACTGGGGTAGGGGGTGCTCCCTGAGGTCCCCTGTCAAGCCCCACCAGGTGTGGAGTGCAGCCTCAGGTCCCCTGCCCCAGCCCAGCGCCCACAGCCTGAGGTCCCCAGGCCTGGGCTGGGGGGAGGGGCGTGCCTTGAGGTCCCCTGTCAAACCCTGCTTGGTGGGGGTGTGGCCTCAGGTCCTCTGGCCCGGCACCAGGGCGGGAGGTGCAGCCTGAGGTCCCCTGTAAAGCCCCACCAGGTGGGGAGTGCAGCCTCAGGTCCCCTGCCCCAGCCCAGCGCCACACAACCTCAGGTCCCTGCTGATTGCTTGTTAAGGCTCATTACGGGAACTCGGCCTCCACTGTGGGAGCAGCCATCTTGTGTTATGGAATCCCTGCCTCAGCTGTGGGTGCAGTCATCTTGACCATTATGGTGTGACGGCCAATTTGCATATTCCCTCTTTATTATATAGGATACTCAGAAGAGACCCAAACATGGAGATTCTACTACTCCCAACGTAATCTGATGATGTTTTGGTCTTTTTCTACTTCTGCTGATGAGAAAGTCACTCTGGCTTGTTCAGAATTCAGTCCAAAAATGTGTAGAGGGCGCTAAGAGAATCATTGCCTAGTGCGTGGATTTGACGGCGCTCCAGAGTGACGCGAAGAGTCTTGGAGTGCTCTCCTTGCTCGAGTCTAGACCTGTTGACCAGCCCGTTACTCCTGTAGGGTTGAAATGGGTTAAGCTCGAACTTTCCTCTCCCGGGGAGTGTCTGAGTCCACAGGAGGTTCTGCGATTCAGCACACAGTAAACGACCGGGGACTCTGAGTTTGAAACCCCAATTCCCTGGTGAGATGTGGATGTAATAATATTTACCGGTGTCTGGCGAGGGGGTTGGTAAAATACCCAAGTGCTCCACGAGTGGAATTCTCATTATGTGCAGCACAGTCAGCTTCTGCCCAATTACCTGAGAAAGTGCTAGCTCTCGAAGGAATCTAATTGGGGTGCTTTACTGGGCTGGAAAAAGTTTAGCTAAATCAGAAAGGTCTAATTAAGCAAGTTTGTTCTATATCTATAAAAGGCTAAGTTGACTCGTGCATGCATGATACATATAAAGCTTTCGCTGGTGCCAATCGCACGCATGTGTTTCCATCTGTCATTGTCAATCGTGAATTTGGTTGACACTTCTATTATAGAGAAAGGGCGAATAGCGATATTAAAATATTTCTTC